TTTTAAAACTATCATGTCTATATATATATATATATATATATATATATATATATTTCGATATACATATATACATATCAAATGCGCACATTTGCGCGCATTACAATTTAAATATCTATATACTTTGGCAATATTTCCTCTACTCGATTGTATTTAAAATTTTTTTAATCCTATAAAAATGTATTGTTATAATATATTGATATTTCTATATTTTGGAATGTATGTACGTATGTGTATATGTTTGTGTGTATATGTTTGTATGTATTTACGCGCGCGCAAATATATGTACGATCGATGTGGATATAAGAGAATGAAAAAAAAACAAAAAAAAAAAAAAAGAAGAGAAAAATGCGTGTATGTTTAAAATGTAAATACGTATTTGCAGGCAACAGAGACTGATTGTTTTTCTGGAGTATTATATGACACTAGAAAGCAAAGTGTCCTTAAGGTGTTCGGGATAAGAATTATTTCACGTTTGTGCTTGATCATAATTCTGATCGTACAGAAATCGTTAAATAATGCGTGGACAATCGTGGACAATCTAATAGGCAATCTTGGACAATCGTCGACAATCAGAAACGAACAGGAAAAAATCGATACAAACGAATTGTAATGACGTGTTCGTGTTCTTACGAATTATCTTTTGATAATTATTCAACAAAATTGTAATTTATCAAAAGTATTTGAACGTGCATAATACATTGTGAACTCGATACATTGAATCATCGTTGAGAATCTTGAGATCTCATGTATCCAAGTATATGTATATGTATCGTGAAACAGAAAATGACAATCATTCGAACAAAACTACGGATTATTAGCAATTTTGGGCTCTAGCATTTTTTTTGACCAGTAATGTACCTATCGGTCGATAATGCAGAGTTCTGCCCGAAATACATGTGATCTGGTAAAAAATTACTATATATTTATTATTCTATTTTTTTAATATTTTTCTATATATATAATTTTCTTTTTAAATCTCATCGTTTTTTTTTCATCGTTTACATTTTCTTTGCTTTTATCTATTAATATTTCTGCTTTTACGATCGTTTTTAATTTTACATTACAGAACAATCCTTCCTTTCAATGCAAATAAGAAAGTACAAAAATTTTATAGTAGTGAGGAATATTTTAAGAATATTTTACGTTAAAATATTTTTCAGTATTAGGAATCCAATATTATATCTATCTACGACGAGTAAATAACAAAGTAACAAGAAATATATAATCATAATGTGTCGATACAATTGTAAAAAATCCGCTTCTGTTTATCTTTATGCAACATGTATCGGGCTTCAAATTATGTATACATATTCAAATGATATTCTTATTGAAATGTATTCTTATTAATGCAATATCGTTTACGATATTGTCACGTATTGTCATTTTCATCGTTATTCCGTAATTATGTATGTGCAAGAAAGAATACGTCAACGAGTAATGTGCTCAATAGACTTCCTATCAAAAATAGATGTTAAACTCGTCCGAATGCAATTATTCATTCTCCATAATATATTGTTCGTGCACAAGCAACATCCTTTTCCGATTAATTAATCCGTTCTTGTTATTAAGTATGTATATTTCCTGTATCTCTTTCGAAAGATGTACTATAATAAAAACGATGGTAATCGAATAGTATTGAATATTCTTCTGTACGTTAAAAAATTGTCAAATTACTAATAATTATAACTATTAGTAATAAATAACTATATATAATAATAATTTTTTTTATAAAAAATGGCTATCAATTCATTTTATTTAAAATCCTATTCAAAAAAAAAAAGAAATAATCTAAATTCCAAATATCTTCTATGATTCAACCTAGGAAAAAATCTCCTATTAAATTATATATCTTTTCAAATCATTAATTTTTTGTCTAAAATATTTTTTAATATTATCAGTAGCTTTCAGATAAATTGATTTAAATAAAAAATTCTTTAGTAAAAATTATTTTAGTAAGAGTGAGAGCAGACTCATAGCGAAAGGGTTAAATTATACACGTGGTCTCCCTTCCCTAATCGAGAGTTTATTACGTTGGTATTATATGAGAAATCAAGTATTGTATACGATTCGTAACTTATATTATTAGAAAAATAAATATAAATATAAAGATAACATTATAAATTGAATATAAAAATCATGAAAGTGATTAGAATTTTAAGACAATAACAATAAAAACAATAAAAACGATAATAATGGACATATTACCCAACAAAATGAAGCATTCATTGAGCGGCGCAGAAACTTGCGCATTAAACAAAACGTGTAGGTTATGCCTTCGCGTCGAAAATCATTTAATATCGATATTTACCGAAGAAGAAAAGTCAAAATGCTTGCTTTCTCGTATTCGAGATTGTTGTCCTATTACGGTGAGTAATCTTGATACTTTATATTATGATTTTTAATTCAATTCATAATTTCTTGTTTTTTTCTCCTTGCATGTTTTATTTCTCACTTCTAAATTCAAAATACAAATTTTTATATGTATATGTAAATATGTAAATG